TCTCACTGGACAGTTTTTTGGGCAAATTTTCATCCAACGATGACTTATTGCAGAAAAATGATTATAATCTTACATTAAAGATACAAATAAAAACTCAATGATTTTTGTTAAAAGCATGCTTGTAAGATTCCGACTGATGTATTACGTTTAATTCCTTATGCAACTGTTGGCTTTTATACTGAACAGATACTGCCACCAACCCCTCTTTTTACATTCATTTTTGACAGAAAAGAGCTATTTTGAACATTTTCCTAAGGCAAGGCGGCAAAATGAATCAGAATTTACATTAATAATATTTAAAGTTCACTAGTACTATAACAAACTTACATACCTTTCATCACCCCTCAACCATGTATATTTTTAGATATTTACCTCTGTAGCAGACATGTACAAGTCGGCTGCTCATTTTCAGCCCAAGTTACACATTTGATCTCCAATGCTAGTTTAATTGTGACAGGCAGTCACCAACAAGCCAACCCATTTTCAAGCTTAACTCAATGTAAATGTAAACCACATTACAGATTTAGATTGTGTGTGAATTTATAAATGCTAGGGTTGGGATAATTAGGCTCATGCCTTCTACCTTAAAAATTAGGGGGTGTCAAAATACGAAACTATCCAGTGAGACCTTCCAGTCCCCAACATCACAATCTCTTGATAATGGACGATATGATTGGTAAGGTAGGAACAGACAATACAATTAATGAGGAGGTGACGGAGTAATATGGATATAGAGTCATCAATGACAATGCTGAAATTCTTCTGGATTTCTGCCTCAGTAACAACTGCGTAATAAGCAGCAATATCCTCCTACACAAAGGGATCCACAAACTAATTTGGAAATTCCTCGATGAGCACACTGTTAACGGGATTTACCATATTGTCTTCAGTAAATATTTACGCAGATCTCTTCAAGTTGTCAAGGTCCATCTAGGGGCGGATGTCAATAGTGAGCTTTACTTTTTGTATATAATATTTATTTACAATAGTCCCCAGGTTGGATCAAGTAATTAATTGTGGTGTTTCAGCGACAATATCCAGACACCACCAGTAAGACGCTGCAGTTAATTTCTTATAATCTGTTATCATCATAAATGTATCTTTGTTTAGCACTATAGATACAGTTCCAGAAAAATTATCGTTTGAATGACGCCATGGACATATAGTAAATATACTAAATTTTGCACTGCTTAATATCGACAGCCTATATAAACATTGACTTCCGCGGTATGTTTGATAGTGTTATTTTCCTGTGACCATATTACTGATTCTGATGCTACTGTGTACACTGTATTGTTAGCTCGTTCGTGAGGAATTTTAATCAGATTAGATTTTTCAACGATATTAGGAATTCCACTGACAATATCGTTGAGTCTTTCATTAATATCAGTGAGTTTAATATCAATAGTTGGTGGATTTCCAAACAATTCGTTAATAGGTCTGTTTACATTTCTGCGAAAATTTAAAACGTTTGTACGTGATTAGAAAAATCATCGACATATTTCTTCATTGCAGCATCAAAGTCAGACTGGCGTTCTAAGATTATTGATGCCATTATTTTTCATGTTGAGAAATTCACTTTTCATACCATCGAGCACTGATACATACTTTGATTCTTGATCATCGACATATTTTTTGTTGAAGCGTCATTATCTGCGGTTCGTTTTCCAAGGGTAATAATCGTGTTTTGATTCATTATAATGTTGAATGTCAATGAATCACCATTTTTTTTTGGCATAATCGTTACCTAACCTAACAGAATCTTGTATCTTACCTTGGTTAGTAAAAGTAACGATGTATATACAACCGCAGTGGGAACTCGTTTAAGTACACCTGACAGTTGTACATTACTTGTCTTTAATTGTCCTTGCCTGTCTTGCAAACGACGACTTCATTTTAATCCACACTTGTGATATTTAATAAATTATCGAGTTCATTTCTGAACTGATCAAGAGTTGCATACTTAGATAAGTCACCTTGCTGAGGTTTAGCTGGTGAATCTCCTGTTCATGTTCCAAATTTTGTATAGTACCTCATTATTCATTATCCTACATAAAATTACCAATATTAGTCAGTTTAATATTTTATAAAATTATATAACAAAATCGTCGATATTAAACTTTGATACAGAGCGGTTGGTGGAACATAAGCATAACTATAAACTCCGACATTGTCATTATCTTGTTGCTAGGCGAACTGGATCAGAAAAAAAAATTAATTTGCTAATGAACTTGATTCTCGGTGATAATTTTAGCTACAATCGAGTTTATATTTACACAATTAATCCGCAGCAAAATAAGTAGGAGCAAATAAGCATATATAAATTTCTTGACAATCCTGATGATAATAAAGATTTTTTTTATAATCTGGCAACCAGACGATCTTGTTCCTCCGAGTGACGCAATAAAAAGTATATAAACAAAAAATATAAAAAATATATCATTCGTCCAATCAACTTCAACCTGTTGGAACTTCTGCTTGATGATATTATTATATAATGTTCCTTAAACAAATGTCCCAATCAGATGACAATGTCAGGAAATTAATTTTTTAAAGTTTTTTTTTACAGTTTGATAAGCAAAATTCTCACGTTAGTGATGAGATTGCAATAAATGTTTGCAAATCTATTTGAAGTTTGCAATTATTTTTTTTTGTAAATCTATCTTTAACTTAATAAATAAATCTTAACTAACTTTTTTATCTAACTTTATTATCTAACTTTATTAATATATAATCTCATCATGTTGCCTTAAATGTAAAAGTAAAATAGCAAATATCAATGAAACAACAGAAAAAAAGAACACAAGGACGATGCTGAAAAAATATTTGTGGAATCTGCGGAAAAGAAAAAAGTATGTTTTAAAGAAATTGTCCGGAGCTGGTTGACCTCACATTTTCGTGGACGTTATTTTAGTAGACAACTGAAAATATAGAATGATATGCAACTGTGATTCTGTCAGAGGTTTAGGTCTTGAGGAAAACAGTTATGACATATTGCCAAGGTTGTAACAGAGAAATAATAGGCACAGGCATAGATATGTATAAATTAATTGGCAACTGCCGAAACCAAAATGCAGTGGGACATTGTCAGGCTATAAATGCACTGGACCTCATAATAATTTTGATAAACAAGTAGATGAATAAAAATCTGCTGCCAGGACAAGAACTTTACAATCAAGTTGACGCAATAGCAATGCGCTATGGCATTTGTTATCATGATCAGACTGTGATAAAGTAATTTTAGATGAACTTTGTGATATGGAGCCGACAAATATGCGAGAACGTTTTGATGGAAACTGGTACAAGGTTTTATTAGAGCAAATAAAAATAAATTATGACTTGGGAAAGAATTATACGATGATCTCTCAGCCGAACTACATACACCTGAAAAAAGATTACGCGATGTAAAGTTGTAGCAAATGCCGTTGATGTTATCTGGGCGATAGAATTAGTAGATGTGTCAAATCTTGAAAAATTTAATGATAATAAAAAAATTAACTTGTTCAATGTCATAAATGTTTTAAAGTATATACTTTTAGTATACCTGTTTAAGATAAAACAGGAACATCGATAACTGATGCACTAAAACAAATAATGGCAAAGAAAACTAAACAGAATCTGGACAAATCACAGAGCGTAATTTTTCAATAAAAAGGTCGAGCAGGTTTTGGAATAAAATGATATCAAAAGGTATGTTACTGGAAATGAGGGTAAAAAAGTTGTCGAATGAATTAATCGCAGGCTAAACGAAAACACACAAATATGTGACAGCTAAATACACAAACAATTATACCGATGATCTTTCTCAAATTGATGACATGTACAATAACACGAAACATCGAACCACTAAGCTGTCGCCAAACAACGCAATACAAAATCCTATATTGTCGAATGAAAACATGTACCGCAGACATAAATTGAATGTTGGTGATAAAGTTAGAGTTCCTCTGACGAAAAATACATTTCAAAAAGTATTTACTCCAATCTGGATCGAAGAAGTATCTGTAGTTGATAAAGTACTTTTAACGATACCTGCAACATACGGGTCAAAAGATTTAGCGGGGGAGCAGATCTTAGGCAGTTTGTACGAGCAGTAACTTTCGAAAACTGAACAAGATGTTTTCGGTATTAAAAAAGGTATCCGAAATCACGGCGACAAAGGTTTAGTTAAGTGGAGAGGATACAGCTATAAATTTAATAGATGGATCCCAAGTAAGTCGATCCAATAATGCTAGTATAAATCTGCTTGTATTTCATAAGTACAGTTGTACATATGATAGTTTTACATAACGAAATAAAATGTAATTTTCTTTCATTATCAACTGGCATCAAATCGAATATCTTAGCCAAAAAAAATCATAGTTGATACTCCTTCGCTGGCCAGTTATTATTAGATTTAAAAACGGACTGATAAGCTTCAAAACTATTTGTTGTTCGGCAACAGGAAAATTAAATTTTATTATATTTTTAACAATATAATACTTAACATTATATCGTCCTGTTTTTGGTCTTCTCTAATATGATCTGTCAGCGACAGTAACTACTTCATCTTCATCGTCAGATTCGTTGTTGTATTAACTATCATCTTTGTTATTACTTGCAGATTTATCTATTATATCGCTAGTGGTTTTAACATTGTTGTTAGTGATTGTATCACAAGAGATGACATATTCTGCGATTATCCCTACAGCATATATTTCAGTAAGTCGTTTCATAAAATCCATAATATAATATATTTTTATCTAATTTATTGTTATAAGATTACTGACGAAGAGGTGTGGTGTTTATAATTTTTAACGTAACTTTTAGCAATTTTTCAATCATATCGCTACAATCTCTGCAGTGTGAAAATTTATAGTCATGTAACATGCAGACATATAGCATGATATCCCACCCAGTCACATTATCCTGACACCAGGCCAACCAGTCCTAACACTAACCTCTTAATGCTGAGCGTCAAGCGAGGCAGCAGTTAGTACAATTTTTGTAAGTCTTTGGTATGACTCGACTGGAGATCGAACCCACCACCTCCCGCATCCGAGGCTGACGCTCTAACCACTACGCCACCGGAGCGGTTTTATTACTGACGAGGTAAAATATCACCAAAAAGTTAATATACTAAATTACAACGAACTAAGCCGAAGCGGTGAGAAAATGTTTTTTTCGGGTTTCAGTGCATATTCTGTCGACACCATTGTGATGCCTGGCGGAAATGATAAGATATTACTATCAGCAGCTGAAAAGCTTTAATGGTAGTGCTTTTATAACATTGAAATTTGATTAAGATGACATTTTAATGTTTACCCACAGCTGTCTCTTACTAAGACAGAACCACGAAATATTATTAATGATCATATCTGAAACTAAATCTGTAAAACTTTGACATTGTCTTCGCTGTTTCTTTTGCCGTCAGCGAGGTCTGTTACTCTCTGCATGTGAATTTTAAGATGTTTTGCAGCAGTGCAGCAGCTGACATGGATTTAAATTTAATTTCTTCTCCAGTCTCAATATTGACTGAAATAACTGATCTTTTAGGATTTTTTAAATTATTACCACCAATTCCTCTTTTGGTGTTTTCTTTTGATGTTACTGCATCTAAATTTTCTAAACGATTGTCGGTTTTATTTTTTTTTTAATATGATCAATAACCAGAGTACCTGTAATACCGCTATTAAAAATTTCATAAAGAAATATATGTGATAGATAATTAACAAAATCAGTTTTAGTTCCACGTACCTTGAAAAACCAGGTATCCGTTATTTTACAAACTTCTAACAACTTTTTTGCTATTTCTAATAATTCCCTTATCAATTGCATCATATACATTAAACACCGTATGAGGTTGATACTCATCTTGGAAAGATAATTTTTCAATACTGTTATTAGTATTCGAGTCATTTGCTCGATAAACTCGTTGTCTTTCTGGAATATTATCGCAAAACAAAGTTTAAAATCTTTACTAAAAATTTCAATTCTTTAGGCCTTATTATCTTTAAATCTGATCTTATAACCTGCTGGCGTTGCTTCACTAATAGATGATCCAGATTTTATGTTAATAACCGAATCTAATACATCGGTGAAAATGATATGCTTCTTGCTCCTCCGCTGTCAGTCGGATATATCTCAGAACTTCTGTCATTATACAATAAACATTTTATATCCCTAATTGTTTTTTCGATCTCTTATTGGTTTTGTTTTACTCTCGTGCTGTGAGTTATCAATTAGTTAGATTTGTAACATTACACTATATATATATATATATATATATATATATATCTATATATATATATATATATATATATATATATATAGAGAGAGAGAGAGAGAGAGAGAGAGAGAGAGAGAGAGAGAGATAGAGATATATATATCTATATAGATATATATATATATACATACATATCTCTCTCTCTCTCTCTCTCTCTCTCTCTCTCTCTCTCTCTCTCTATATATATATATATATATATATATATATATATATATATATATATATATATATATATATATATATATATATATATCTATATAAAGAATACAAATCATATGGCGAATAACAACCCTCTCAAGCGTACTGGATCCACCAAGGGATCACGTTTGTCAGGGATTAATTAAAATAGATGCAATAAACTGACGACGAACAGTACGAAACTAGTAACTAACTAGCCTAAGCGCTTTCGACTCTTAATGAGTCTTTTTCAAAGGCAAATACAAAACATAGTTACGACAAACAAATAAACACAAAAACGTTGCGTTTGTAAACCTCTACATTTCTATCTTCACATGTGCTAAAACTATAAATACAACCAGCTTGTATAGACTAGTTGCGTTAACTGAAAACGTTGTATAATTCCCTAAAAGTCTACAAGCCAAAGCGACATCTATTTTTACTTTGTGTACATATGTAACGCAGATTATATCCCGGATATTTGGTTCTATACCGGTTATTCTTATAGTAAAAATTGAAGGATAAGAAGATTTATAAAATGTTAAATTCTACTAGTGCATAGTTTTCAGTTTCTAGTCTTCTTGGTTTAGACCGCTTGGTTTCAATGTTCTAAGGCGGCGTATCCAGTATGATTCCTTTTCCTTCCTGGTTTCGGAACTCCAGCTGTGGTTGTTGGCAATAGCGATAAGTATTATATCACTGAAAGTGTGGCCAGGGGAGGAGAAGTGTTCTGCGACCGGGCTTCTGTACAGCTTTTTTGTCATCCAATCAGATCTATGAAGGTTTATCCTTATGTGTAGCTTTTCAGTTTCTCCCACGTACTGAAGGCCACAGATCTTACATGTGATGAGATAAATCACATTCTCTGTTTTGCACGTTTTGTTTGGACCATGTATGTTTAGTTTTTCTTTAGTCACTGTGCTAGTGAATGTCTTGGTCTCTATCATATGTTGACAGGTTTTGCATCTTTTATCGCCACAGGGTCCAGATTGACTAGGTTGGTTTTGACATACTAAACCTAATACTTCCGAACAAACCTGTAGTAGCTTACCGGAGACAAAAAAACCTAAAGGACATCCTAGTCAGGGCCAAGCTAACAACAATCGCTAGTCAAAACCAACCTAGTCAATCTGGACCCTGTGGCGATAAAAGATGCAAAACCTGTCTACATATGATAGAGACCAAGACATTCACTAGCACAGTGACTAAAGAAAAACTAAACATACATGGTCCAAACAAAACGTGCAAAACAGAGAATGTGATTTATCTCATCACATGTAAGATCTGTGGCCTTCAGTACGTGGGAGAAACTGAAAAGCTACACATAAGGATAAACCTTCATAGATCTGATTGGATGACAAAAAAGCTGTACAGAAGCCCGGTCGCAGAACACTTCTCCTCCCCTGGCCACACTTTCAGTGATATAATACTTATCGCTATTGCCAACAACCACAGCTGGAGTTCCGAAACCAGGAAGGAAAAGGAATCATACTGGATACGCCGCCTTAGAACATTGAAACCAAGCGGTCTAAACCAAGAAGACTAGAAAATGAAAACTATGCACTAGTAGAATTTAACATTTTATAAATCTTCTTATCCTTCAATTTTTACTATAAGAATAACCGGTATAGAACCAAATATCCGGGATATAATCTGCGTTACATATGTACACAAAGTAAAAATAGATGTCGCTTTGGCTTGTAGACTTTTAGGGAATTATACAACGTTTTCAGTTAACGCAACTAGTCTATACAAGCTGGTTGTATTTATAGTTTTAGCACATATGAAGATAGAAATGTAGAGGTTTACAAACGCAACGTTTTTGTGTTTATTTGTTTGTCGTAACTATGTTTTGTATTTGCCTTTGAAAAAGACTCATTAAGAGTCGAAAGCGCTTAGGCTAGTTAGTTACTAGTTTCGTACTGTTTGTCGTCAGTTTATTGCATCTATATATCTATATATATATATATATATATATATATATATATATATATATATATATATATATATATATATATATCTATATATCTATATATATATCTATATATATATATATATATATATATATATATATATATATATATATATATATATATATATATATATATATATATATATATATATATATATATATAAATTTTAAAATTACATGATCTTGCCAAGAAACGTTTTATGGGAAAATCTGAAAAAATAGCGACTGCCTTCACTGAATTTGTGAACAGTTATCGGTTTTATTAGTAAATTTCACTGGAACAAATCTCTCTCAATTGCTATAGCCAACCGTAAAACGTGAATTTGAAAAACATAAGGGTCTAAGAATGTTAGTGCAATATCTTGTTATACTTACAAAGCTACTTGTGAAAAAAGAATCGACTGACAAGGAAATTGTAGATCCTTACATTAACGCAAAATCAATACGTGTTTTGATTCGTACTGATCTTTAATAACTAGCTAATGAAATACACCATGAAATTTTGAAGAAAAAAAAATTACCGAATCAGGCTCGGGGAAGGAAGTTTGAAATAATTACTGAAATTTTATTTCACACAATAAAATATAACGTATTACGCGGTTTTTAATCCATAACGTAATTATTTTTTTTTTATATAAATTTATCATCGATTGTGAAACTTCAAAGTTTGATATTTGATTTTCTGCAACTGTAAAGTCGATGTCATTAAAATTTAATTTTAATACATGACTAATATACTTGTCAATACGATTAGCTTTTCTTCTGCTGGAAATATCCATTGAAAAAGTCTGTTATCAACGTTCTTTAAATTTATAAAGCATTTTTAAATTTTTTTTGGTAGGTCAAGATACGAACTACCGCGTATTCTTGACTTATTGGATCACAAAAGTTTTTAAATTCCGCTGATAACTTCAATCTCAATTGTTCAAGGTAATTGAAATAGTCAGATCTGATAAGCGAAAGTTTACCTTCTCACGAACGGCGGTAAAACATACACCTGACGTTTCATTATTAATTTCAACTGTCAATTGTTTGCCGTCCGACCATTAGATATTTGATCTTGCTATTGTAGCTATTTGTCGACGTCAAATTTTAAAAATATTAGTTATAAAGGTTAGATAAAATTTTATAACGTAGACGCTGAATATAATATTGAGTATAGATCTATCATCAAAACAATAGCCAACTGCAAATGTATCTAACCCATTTTCCCAATAATCTTTGTCAATAAAATTTCTTAAACCTCGTTTGAAAATGACATGTGTTTAAAGTTTATGATGATTCGATGGAATAGCCATTGCTTTTAGAAAACTAACACCGCCATCTAGCGCGTATTTGTAATCATCAAATTCAATAAACTTTTTTTTAACAAAACCGCGAGGCAGACCTTTGTTTTATTAAAATTTTGTTATTGTTTAACAATATCGCGTACATTTTACTGCTTAATCCAATAAAGTATTTGATGATGCATAAGTTCATTTCATCTTTGAACTTATCAAAGACCTTTTTATTTGTGTCGTCATGAAATTGACTGTCAAGAGGGTAACCGGAAAATCAAACAGATGTCGGTTATCGTGTATATCCTGATAGGTGTACTCACATTCAATTTCATACACGAGCGAAGCGGTATCGGTAGACAATAGTCTACTAGACTACCAC